GAGGCGGGCCAGCCACTCAGCAACGTCCTGGGGCCAGTACCAAGGCCAGACCGATTAGAATGCTCATGAGGAACTAAATGGTAATTGATTGTGACATCAATTACAAATAATCTCATCATTTTATTGGAGTGGGCTTGTCAGAATTCTAATTAAGATCTCTGTTCTGCCTTTGTACAGGCCATATCTTCAATGCATTATACTTCGATAATGACCATCAAGAACCAGAAGGCCCTATTATAAAATCATTAGTTGTAAAATTAATGATGGTGACCTTCTACTAAATGAAAAGACCCTATCTCTTTATGTCCTGTGTATTAACTGGTAAATAAATATAAATTTTTACTCAATGACCATCATAAGCATATTTAGAAGAGAACATATTGCTTTAAAAATGCTCTTGCAATATGAAATGAATTTGCTTATTAATATCTGCTCAATATAAACCTAAAAAGTTACTCTCCAGCAGTAATCAGTAAAATTACTTTTTAAAAGTTTTTACAGTTTTTGTTACCTAAGAAAGTTGATTAACCAGACTAAAATAATTTTTTTAGGAAGGGATTTATTTTCACTATTCTTTTGACTGGCTTTTACTTGATAGTCCTATATGAAGAAAAAAATCCCTTCTGGGGATTCTCCCTATGGGGGAAATTGCATTTTTAAAAAATGTCACAATTACTTTCTTGAAAAATAAATTAATATATACATGTGAAGTTGAATTTCACCTTACATAAGAGATAATATAATTCTAGTGTTTTATCATATAGAAATATTTATCAAAACCTTTAATTCTTTGTATTTAGACACAATAAAATGCTAAATATAATTAACATTCTGGAATATTACTGTAGGAGGAGCCATAAGAAAAAGATTATCTTTCGTATTTGAATTTCCATAGTTTTTCCTCAGAATTTCCATACTTTTTCCTCACTTGCAAGTTCTGAAAATAGGTTTATATATATATATGTGAATAAATAAAATCATGCATTTAGAGACACCAGTAAAAACAGAAGCAGCACAGTTTACCAGACCAGTAAGGCAGCAAGCATGCTAACATAGGGACGTCTTTGCCTGTCCTGTCGACCATGGCTTGTGCACCTCTCCACACAGCTTTCCCAAACTAGTCTGCCCACACCAACCTGCACAGAGCACGTACCATGTGCAGTTGGCTCTGCTTGGGGTCCTGGATTACACATCTTCTTACCTACCTGGCTTTCTTCTAAGTCTTTACCGTTTTAGGACAGATTAAGCCAATAGACAGCAATTTCATGACTTTAATGCCTTTTCTTTCTTTTGAAAGATTACTTTTATTGCCATCATTGCTAGATTTTTGTCAATCTGGCAAAAAATGGGACCTCAGTAGTTTGCTGTCTTGTAAGTGAAGCTGAATCTTCATTTAAAAGCAAGTCTGTCTTCTGTGATCTTTCTTTGCATGTCTTTTGCTATTTGTCTACAGAGATAATGGTGTTTTCCTCTTCCTTTCACAGGAGTTCTACAGATAGTGAGGAGATTAGCCCTTTGTGATACGAATGGCAAATACGTATTCCCAGTTTGTCATTTCTTTTATGAGTCTTTGCATTTATGGCTTCTGTGTTTTGAGTCATAGTTACAAAGGCTTTCATGGTTTTAGTTTTTACATTTAACTAGTATTTATTTTTGGGGAATACATCCTGACAGATGGTATAGGTTGTAAGATGTTTTACATTTTAACTTTAATAGCTAATGTCATACCTTGGTAATACTTTTCTCTGCATTTATTTAATTATCGGCAAGGCAGAATATTATTCTCTGCATTTGTTTTCTGTTTGTATTTCATCTTGGATGAATAGTCTTTACCTGTGTTTTAAATGTTAGTCTTCGGGATCTCAATCCTTTTCTTGCCAAATGCAAATGTCCCTTATATAGCACAAATGGGATTAGGGTATTTATTGCAAATGTTTTTCCCCAGCCTAATTTTGTCTTTTTATATTTCTATGTTCCATGGATTTTTAGTTTTTTTACACATTATTTACCTTTTTAAAAAATGATTTTAATTCTTTACAGCACCTAAACCAGTAAGCAAGGTTGGACCTTAAATAGTTGCAGAAATTCTTTTAGACAGTGATAACTGCCTTAGCTATTTTACTTCTATAGCAGTTATGACCTAGTTTCTTTAAAATTAGTGAAATAAAATGATGGTAAGCAACGAACGACAGAAAAGAATCTTCTAAAAGAAACCCAGGATATTATTACCACGAGCCTTTGTACGGATGTAACCCAGGCCATCCACATGTGTCCTTGATTACAAGTCATACCAAGGAGAGGAATAATAATGAAAATCATTAATTTTTTAAAATGTCATTTGATCCTTAAAATGATCCGTGGAATCAACATACTGTAATCCTAAATGTTAAAGGTGGTGAATATGTTTATATCCTTGATTTGTTTATTACGCACTGTACCCCACAAGGATGTATGATTATATGTAAATCATAAATCAGAATATTAAAAATAATCTGTGAAGTAGTGTTATTGGTATGAAGAAGAAATAGGTTCTCTGTGGCACGCAGAACCCTACAGATGTCAGAAGCCTAGATACGCTATTGCCTGAACCTCCATCCACAGCAGAGGAGCCGTCTCTACATCTCAGACATCACATGTACGTACAACACGGAAGGAAGGTAACAGTCTAGAACTGGTGTTACCTTCCGTTCAACAAGAGCTGCTCTACAAACAGGAAAACCTCCTGGTGTGGATCTTTTCAAACTAAAGCAGTCATCTTTGCTACCTACATCTCTAAGCCAAAATTGACCAGTAAAAAATTCACAACATTTCAAATTACTCCACTTTTGGTATGGGGGAGAAATGTACACTGTAGTTCACTTTAAAACCCCATTTCGTATAGAGGTATGCTTTAGTAAAATCCATCTATTTTCACTTTGGACACAAGTTTTGAAAAATGGATGGGCCCACCTAGCCACCCTTCACAACCAAGACAGGACATTTCTATCAAGCCAAAAGCTCCTCCTGTTCCCTTGCAGTCAGCCGCCCACCACACGCCTGGGCTTAGGCATCTGGTGATCTGCTGTCACTAGAGAATGGCTTTTCTGGTTCCTGAATTTGATATACATGGAATTGCAAAGTACCTACTCTGTGTCCGGCTTCTTTAGCTTAGCAATTTTTTTTTTTTTTTTTTTGGAGAGGGTTTCGTTAATAGGGCGTGCCAGACAGAGAGACATAAAGACAGTGAGAAATCACCCCCCAGGGGGGATGGTCACGCCGCAATCCCTTCTCCATTCTCCTCCTGGGATCTTGGGCACGCACGCACACGCGCCCGGCGTGAGTTTTAAGCCACCGGGTCCAGGGCGTGAACCGCGGTCGACTACGTGGGAGTCCAGCGACATAGCCATTATGCTAATTGCTGGTTCCCAGCTTAGCAAGTTTTTATGGTTGATTCGTGTTGTACCTATCACCACCTCCTGTTTGCTGCTGAGCGGTATTCCTCTGTAGACCCCAGTGTCTGCGCTGAGCCAACTGCTGAGTATTTGGGTCATCTGCAGTTTGGAGCAATAATAGATAAAGCCCAATGAACCTTGGTGTATGTGTCTGATTTTTTTTTTTTTTTAGAGGTTTTTTGCTATAGGGCGCGTGCACTCGCCAGACAGAGACAGAGAGACAGAAAATGAGAAATCACCCCCCAAGGGGGATGGTCATGCCGCAATCCCTCCTCCTCCATTCTCCTCTCGGGATCTTGGGCACGTGTGCACATGTGCCTGGCGTGATGTCCAAGCCACCAGGTCCGGGATGTGAACCGCGGTCGAGTACATGGGAGTCCAGCGACATTGCCATTACGCTAACTGCTGGTCCCACGTGTCTGATTCTCTTCAGTAGGTACCATCCCAAAGGTCATGACGTGTTTTTCCATAGAAAAACAAAAACACATCTCGACTTTTCCGACGACCCAGTACCTCAGGTGGAATCTCAGTAAGTGCATGCTTAACCTTAAACAGCCGGTCCAGTAACGGTGGTGCAGGTCATGGGTCCGTCTGCCCAGCGGTGACGGGTGGACCCTGGGTTTGGTTTTCAGTAGGCCTGAGAACATTACATGTTGACCCCAATCTACACCCTGGCATTTGAGCTGCAGTTGTCATACATTGTATTTCTGTTCCTAAGTCTACAGTAAAACAGACAATATGAAACAAAAGTTTTTGTATTTGTCCATATCTTTATTCAGCTGTGAACCCAAATTTCCACCTACCATTTTCTTTCAATTTCAGGAATTCCCTTTGACATTTCTTCTAGTGTGTTTCTGGTATCAATGACTTTTTTCAACCTCAGAAATTCTCTCAAATTTTGCCTTAAAATATCTTTACCTCACTCCAATTTTTGAAAGATATTTTCACTAAAGAATTTTAGGTTGATGGTATACCCCCCAACATTTTGAAGCTTTCATTTCATTGTCTTCTATTTCACTCGTTTCTGACGCTAGAACAGCAGAAATTCTTTGTTCTCATGTTATATGTAATGTGTCCTTTTTTTCATTCTGGTTGCCTTGAAGATTTTATCACTGGCTCTTTGTCATTTCATTGTGATGCTCCATGGAGTTTGATGTTTTTGTACTTGTTTGGCCAGAACTTCTTGAATCTCTGGTATATTTTTAATCAAATTTGGAAAAAAAAAAAAAAAAGATCACCTTCTTTCCCACCTACTATTTCTGGGGTCTCCATAACATCTATGTGAATTTGTGTGATATCGTCCTTTGAATTACTATTCATTTTTATCCCCAGACTTTTTCCTTTCCTTCAGTTTGTATAATTTTTACAACTATGTCTTCAAATTTCAGGGTTTTTTTTTGTTGTTGTTGTTGGTTTTTTTTCAGTTTCTAATTTACCGTAAAAGCCACCTAGTATATATTTTAAACTCTAGAAATTTAATGTGATTTGGGATCAGCAGTTGGTGTAATGGGTATGTCGCTGGAGTCCCAATGTAGTCGACCGCAGTTCGCGTCCCGGAACCGGTGGACTAATCTAATCCTGGGAGCGTCTGCAGGCCTTAAACTCACGCTGGGCGCGTGTGCGTGCGTGCCCAAGATCCCGAGAGGAGAGTGGAGAAGAGGTTGTAGCGTGGCCATCCCCCCTGGGGGGTGATTTCTCGCTTTCTGTCTCTGTCTTTCTGGCAAGCACACACACACCCTATATCAAAAACCTCTCAAAAACAAATAAAGAAAAAGAAAAAGAAATTTAATGTGGTTCTTTCTTATATTTACCATTTCTTTCCTCATTATGTTCATCTTTTCCTCTAGACCCTTAAAAAATCTTTAGTTAGGTTTTTTGTTTTGTTTTGGAAAAATTTTTGCTTATAGGGCACGTGTGCTTACCGGAGAGATGCAGAGAGACAGAAGGCAAGAAATCACCCCCCGCCCCTCGGGGGCGGGGGGGATGGCCACACTTCAAACCCTTCTTCTCTTGGTATTTTGGGCACATGTACACAGTATGTTTCAAGCCACCAGGTCCAGGACTCAAACGATGATTGACTACACGGTAGTCCAGCACCTTAACCACCATGCCACCTGCCTGTCCCTAGAGTTGGTATTTTAAAGTACTGTCTGCTAATTCCACCATCATCTGTCATTTCTGGATGTATTTCACTGATTGACTTCTGGTGACGGATTACATTTTCCTGCTTCTTTACGTAACTAGTAATTTGTGATTAAGCAGCACATTGATTTGTGTGATGGATTTTGTTGGCTGTCTTTAGAGTGTTAAATATCAAGGGGGTCTGGTTTGGGGGAAGCAATTAGTTAAGTTAGCTGCAGATAAACTTATTTCTTTCAGGCCTTGTTTTTAGGATACTAGGTTGGATTTCTTCCATTTTTATTTACTCTGTGGACTATTTTAGCCCCACTTCTAAGGCATGATTTTAGGGTCTCTAATGAATGCTCTGGATAGTCAACAGGTTTGTCCATGCTGGCCAGTCAGAACGCAAATGTCCCTCAGCCTTGTATAAGTTCTGGAAATTGTTTACCTTACGGCTCCCAATAGTCATTCTTTGCTCAGTTCTGAAGTTCACTGGAAGCAAAGACCATTTGGTATTCAGCCCCAAAGCCAAGGGAATAAATACCTGAGTATATGTCTAGAGATTTTTCTATAGCTCCTTCTACTTGGTCATCTGATCCATGAATTCTAACCAGTGAAGATCCTCTACCCCAATCTCTGTTTCCACAACTCAGCAAAATCACCTGTGCTTTCCTTGATTTTTCCTTCCTTCACTGTGGTCTGAGAACTGCCTTGAAACAGAAGTTGGGGCAAATGTAGGCTTCCTTTGTGTCCCTTTTCTAGGAACCAGTCTCACACTGCCTGCTGTGCAATGTATGAAGACAGTGGTTTCCTGCATTTGGTCTGATGTTTTGGCTCCATATGAGAGGAGGGCAAGTCTGTCACCAGCTGCTCCATCATTGTCAGAAGCAGATGTTCATACTATTCAATCTTTAAAGGCTTATATTAAGCATACTTTATAACAATATGAAGAGAACCATTTTACTGAGAGCTAAACTTCTGATGTAAATGCATTGGTGTCTCCACACTGCATCTCCTTCATTGGTATCTTAGTATGTTATGGTTTACTTTTTTTTTTTTTTTAAGTTTTAACTTTATTTATTTATTTATTTATTTAAATTTGACCAGAAAGGGTCAGAGCAAGAGAGACAAAGGGAAAGTGAGAAAGCAAGCTACCAGGTCTGGGACTTGAACTGCGGTTGGCCACATGAGAGTCCAAAGCCCTTAACCACCATGGCACCTGCCAGTCCCTGTTTTACTTTTATTATTAAAATCTCTAGAGAAGATTGGCCAAACTCAGCATGCAATTATGTACAAACAAGGAAGTCTGCATCTCAAAATTGGCAACAGTATAAATGTTCCTCAGTAGCAGGGGTTGAAGAGAAAGTATAGATAGTTCATTTATATAACAGTAGGACACTGGTTAAGAAAAAACTCATGGAAAGATTTCTATGATATAGTCAGTGAAAAAAAAAAAGTTGCATGGTAATATGTATAAATGAAAAATATCTTGTTATAGATTACAAAATGTACATCTCTATGTTCAGTATGTATTATTTAGATAAAGTGCATATACACACACACACACACACACACCCACACACCCCTGTGTGTGTGGGTGTGTGTGTGTGTGTCTTATAAGGCTTAACCCTTTCCGTGATACTTTTTATTTGTTTGTTTTTTTAATTGGCCAGAAGGTACAGGTGCATGTCGGATGGGGATGTAGGGATGAGGGCTGCAGAGATGAGAAAGCACCCCCCACGGGGGAGGGTCATGCCCTCCTTTTGGGATTTTGGTCATGTACACACATGCTCAGTATGTGTCTCAGGCCGCAGGGTACAAGACTTGAACACGCTGTTGGTCATATGGGAGCCAGCCCCTTTAACCACCATACCACAGCTGGTCCAATACTTGCACTTTAAGAAAAAGGGAACATTGACCATCATGATTCAGGTCAAAAAAGCTTTGCTTAATTTCTAAAATTTTGGTTTGGTATGGTTTTGTCTTTGGTAATGTGCGAGAGAGTGACCTAACTTGAAATCCTGTACTAAGCACTGCTCCTTCCTATAAAGGGGCTACCAAATGGTTACAGTGGGCAATGCTGCCACCAGATCACTAGATCCCTGAATTATTTATAGCTTAGCCAAGAACGCATTTATTAAAAAAAAAAAAAAAAAAAGTACAACACATTTTTCTTTGGGTCTGAAATGCAAAACTTGACTCTTCCGGTATGGAGTGAGGTATGGAATAGAAAAATTATTTTTAACTCAAAACAATTATCATCTGTCAGATTAACCTACCAGTTATCACTAAATTGAAAATTCAAACCAGATAAGACAAAAAAGAATTCTATAGCATTATAATAAAGTGTAAACAAGATTAAATGATAGAATAAAATTATTTTTAAAAAAGAAATGTTTTGCAAATGGACAAAGTTGTAAATCCCTAATTCCATGTCTTTGTTCATTACTGTTCATAATCAAAACTTTTAATGGTTAGATTACTTTTCTTTTTATACTCTTGTAAATCTACCATGCCATCTTA